ATGGGTTTATCATTGAAAGTAACTTAATCAATAAATATTGGTATTATGAAAACTTCAATCTTTTGCGTAAAGTTTTATTTGATGATAATTACGCTAAAATGAGTCACGTAAAGTATCGAATTCTTAATCGATGATTTTATCTACCCTGATCATGTATCACGTTATAAATGAGTGTTTTGGAACTGAATTCGTATTCGGAAAAAGAAAAACTTGGCTCCATGGGAACAACTGATGAATAATGGTTGTAACCGTTGATTATCTGGGTGTTTGAGTACTTGGTTGATCAATAAAACTCAACACCCGGATAATCGGTGAATAATCAGTGAACATTATTCGGCTGATACAACTACTACTAATAAACAAAGGAGAGATTGGGATGCACGAGAAATATATATTTATAAGTTTTTTTTTGTGAGCTTTTATATTTTAGTGACTTAATGGCAGTGAATTTGACGTAATAGTTTTACAACTTTGGTAACATTTCGTCAAACAACATTAATTCGAACTGATTTGAATCTATAGCAATCATTAACTATATTTATTAATGAATTGTGCAACTGTAAATTATTATTGTTTTTTATTCGTCAGCACGCTAACATTATTGTTATCAATTAATAATATTATTAGTGATGGTGGCCGAAACTACCTTACCTACTGGGTCGACATTGTTGAAATTAATTGGTCTAAACTTGGACGAAACTAATTTAATAGCTGAAATTGGGCAAAATTATTTTTAAGGTTTTTAAAATAAAGTAGATTGATTTAGATACTTATTATATGTTTGTTATTATAAAAATATTGGGATACCATAATGTTGAGCGAAACTGCTTTTTTTTCAAAAATAGTTACGGCCACCGTCACTAAATAACATCCTTTATCAATTAAATATTCATAATCTTGATTTAGCAGATAGCTCGGGTAATTAGAAAATTTTTTCCAAAAATCTGTTATTATTTATTAAACACAATCAAACCTAGTCACGGTCACAACAAACTATAATTAACGGACTTCGATATGTTTTTATATTAATATGCGATAGCGAAGCAAAATTTTAAAAATCCGCCGTGACATGAATTTAATTATAGTCTGCTGTGCTATGGCAAGGTTGACTGTATGTTGAAAAATAGGCTACTGTTAACAGCAGCAGCATAGGTAAAAATCCAATCATTGTCTATTGAGGTCCACCAATCAAAATAATTAAAATCACGTGGCTTATCAGAATATTTCGAAAATATGGAAGGAAACCAGGGCTGAAAATAGTACTTTAAAAATCCGGATTTTCCTTTAAAAAATTTTAACTTCTGGAAAAAAAAAGAGTTGCCGGATATTTTTCCTTTTTATTTTTATTTTTTGTACAGGTTTCCCATCCACATAAAAAAAATTTATACTAAATAATGTATACTGTACATATATGCGTGTCATTACTTCAATATTTTAGAAAAGTATCTTTTAAATGTTAAATTATTAAAATTAAAAATATATACACTTAAATATGCATTTGCTTTCCCTTATTCAAAAAAATAAATTATAAATAAATAGTATAGAATAAGAAGGATCAGATAATTTGACTACTGAAATTTGGGATGAAGTGTTTTATAGATAAAACAAATATTGATGAATCAGATATAGAAACAAAAATAGTGAATTAAGTGAAAACCATATTAAAATGTCAAATAAAAAAGTAATTTTAAAAATCAGGAAGAAGTTTTAAGCATGAATGGCTAAACATATATAAAGGGCTAAATATGATGAAGCAATGAAGGGATTGTTTTGCACAATTTGTAAAGCACATGGGAAAAAAAAATCTATTTGCAGGAAAAGGTGACAAATAAATATAATTAATTTTGCATTTTGCAATTCTTAAATTACTAATA